TTCTATCAAGCCAGATTCCTTGGAATGAAGATTCAGGGGACTGGATTAAAAAGAATGCTTCAGCTCTGCTTGCAATTAAGAATTCATGTGGAGCAGAGACGTTTGATCAGATTAAGAATATGAATTTAGCCAAAGATGCTTGGAATGCATTGGCTGATTTGCATAAACCACCAAATGTAGACGAGGGTAGAGGAAGTGGGACTGATGCAGGTTTAATTTCTAGCTCCGTCTGTCTTAAATATTTATTCTTTGCTGTTTATTTCAATGCTTTATAATAATCATATATTTCTAGCCTTTGCAACTTCATCTCTACACATCTTCATCTTTAAGAAACAACAAATAGGTATTCCTCGATATAATTATTTATGCTAAATTAGTATATGATCAAGGAATATTATTACTATTTCCTATAAGAGATATATAGAGCCTGTTTGGTATAGCAATTTGAAAATATCTGTTAGTAGTTTTATCCAAACTGCTAAGGATATATATTTGGTAACTTATTTATGTTGGAACCACTATTTGTTATCCATTGTTCACTAACTACTATTGTTGAATTTTAATTATTATACTAAATAGACCTATAGTCAAGTTTGAGTTTTCATAATGGAGTTCAATATACTAATCTCGAACTCAACTCGTGAACTTAACTTACAAACTCGAACTCGAATTTCAACTCTTGAAATTAACTTGACTTGTGAACTTGATTGATTACTTAAATTTAATTTAAAATTTTAAATAGTTAATATATATAATTACTTTTTAATACAATTGAGTCAAGCTGAGTTGAGTTGAGCTGAGTTTTGGATATGGCTCGAACTTGACTCAACTCAATTTTTTGGGTTGAAACTCAAGCTCAAGTTGTGTTAAGCCCAACTTTAGTTTAAGTCAAGTAGTTAACGGGTAATTCAACTAAGGTATTGCCCTATGTATTTCTTGCCTCCCTTCTCATCTTAATGAAAATTAATAATATCAAACAATATCTATTATTAATTTTTTAAGAAAGTTTTTTAATTTTAAATAATATAGTTTTATAATTCTTTCACTTAAGTTATTGACAAACGAAAAAATTAAACTAAAGTGTAATTGATGTTCATGATTGTTATGAATAAACTATTTTTAATTATTGATTTTCTACACTACAGAACGATCATGTTTTGAGAGTAGGATATAGTGGTATACACTCCGTTGAGTTGAAATATTTTACTTCTAATTTTTTATCATATGTTAGTCACTTTTATAATGATAAGTGAAATTAAAGTATAAATAATTCTTTATTTAGCCTCCAAAATAAAACCAAATATTTAATTCATCCCCCTTTTGGGTGTGTGCTTTTTTACTAAATTAACTCTTTTATTTCATCTTTGAAATAAAAAAGTCAAGGAAACATTGACAGGGATAACGGACAACAATGAAAGGACTGAATTTGTGGCCTTACTCAAGAAAATTTACACAGGGGATTGGAATGCCCTAAAATCCTTAGATAGAATAACTGAAATCATTTTTCCTTGCGGGTTCACTGTTCTGCATATTGCAACTATTTTTGGTCACTCGAAGATTGTCAATGAATTGGTTAAGATAGCGAGAGAAGACTACTTGGAAATGCAGGATGACAATGATGATA